TTCACACACAGGAATACACAAATACGCATGCATGTGCACACACACACGTGCACACACATCCCCGCAGACATTTTACCTAAGCTGCCAAGGACCTGTGGGAGCGGCTTCAACACCCCCATGAGCCTTCCCAGGCCCCACACCCAGGCAGGCACGTCGTTCCTTCAGTGACAGGCGTCACACTGACCACCCCCTCAGGCCCCATGCACCCAGGCTGTAGCTTGTCCCTAGCCCAGGACCCACACAGGAGCTGCTTAGGGTTCTCAAGGGGCTGTGACTGCTCACCTGCTGTGGGCCACACCCCCACGGGGCCCAAAGAAGCTGCTCAGCCCATAGGCCATCAAAGGACATTCAGCTGCCAGGGGTGGGTGGACGCCTGACAGGTCCAGCTGCAGGCCTGGTGGGAGCGGCCCCACCTCAGCTGCTGGGACCCGGCATCCCCAAACTTGGCATCAGAGGCCTTCTCAGGTCTGCTGCTCTCTGTCCCCAGGAGTCCATTCCTCCCCCAACTCCCTGTGCCTCCAACAGGTCCAGCTGCAGGCCTGGTGGGAGCGGCCCCACCTCAGCTGCTGGGACCCGGCATCCCCAAACTTGGCATCAGAGGCCTTTTCAGGTCTGCTGCTCTCTGTCCCTAGGAGTCCATTCCTCCCCCAACTCCCTGTGCCTCCATCTTCAGCATGGGGCCTCCCAACGGACCTGGGCTCCTGTCCTGGTCTCCCACTGCAGACCGGGATGGCCCAGCGTCTTCCGCCATGGCCTCCGCCCAGGGCTTCCAGTGCTACCCACCACGCTGTGTCTGCCCTGCCCAACCTCCACTGTCAGCCTGAACCTCTGCCCACAAAACCCAATGCCAAACCCAGGCAGGGTGGGCGAGGGTGCTGGGCAGCAGGGGCTTTTCCCTGAGAGCCGGCCTCCTCCTATGTGACAGCTGCCTGGCCTGGTGCTCCCAACTGCGGACACAGAACCTGTGCAGAAAGCCGTGGAAACAGCCGCAGGCAGGCGCCTCGGTGAACGCTGCTGGTCACTGGGGCGGTGCCACAGGTGGAGCTGGGAAAAGCTTTGGTGCTGCGGGGGTAGTGCCCCCCACCCAAAAAATTCACATCAACCAGAACCTCAGAGTAAGACCTTTAAAATAGGGTCTTTGTAGATGTAATTCCATTAAAGATTTTGAGATTGTCCCAGCTTATCCTGGTGGCCCTTAAATCCAGTGACAGGTGTCCTGATAAGCAAAGGAGGAGACAGACAGAAACTCTGGGAAGGAGGCCCGGTGAGGACAGGGGCAGAGGTGGAGCCATGGGGCCACCGCCCAGGACTGCCTGGAGCCACAGAAGCTGGAAGAGGTGGGAACCTCCTGAGCGCACAGGCCTTGATGTCGGACTTCTGGCCTCCTAAGCCTTAGGAGGGAACCCCTGTTGTTCAACCCATTTGTAGTGATTTTCTCAGGAGCCCAGGAAACATAACGGGACACTGTGCGTGGATCACATCATTGGCTGTGAGTCAGTTTTCAGTAATTGCCCTGCGCTGAGCGGATACCCGGTGGCCGGTGGGGCCTGCGCGGAACCGGCCTTGTAAGGCAGACGCCTCGGGGCGCACCGCGAGTTTCCCTTGCCGGGTGGGGCGGCGGGGACGGGGATGCCAACGAGCGCGGGGGTGGGGGCAGGCGGAGGACGCTGGGGGCCGGGGGCGGGCCCGGCGCAGACTGGCCCGTCAGCCCCAGCACCTAGCCGCAGCCCGCCGCCCCGCGCCACCCGAGCCCTTCCGGGCCCGCCGCCGTCCGGCGCCGGATTAGGATGCCGGAGTTCGGCGCAGCGCGCGCGGGCCGGGGCGGCAGGGAAGTTCGAAAGGCCACGGCAGGGCCACCGTCCGCCGGCAGGGACAGGTCCTGTCACCGTCTCGGCCGCGCTGCGCTTTGGCTTTCTTCGCTGCCGGGACGCCCCTGCAGGCATTTCCCTCCAGCCCTCCCCAGCGGACTCGAACCGGTTCCCTATTCCCAGGCCTAGGAAGGCGCCGCCAGTTGTGGGCCGGTGGGAAATTAGGGCGTGGAAGGGCCTGATGAAGCCCACAGCCCGCAGCGGGTTTTTGAGAGATCCCGGGCCATAGAAACGGCCAAGAATGACGCGTCCTCGGGGTCTGACACCACCCGCGTCTCCGGCAGGGGGGGTGTCAGACCGTCCCCGAAGCGCCCTCGGGCTCCCGGGCCTTGGCCTACCCCCGCCCGGCCTGTGGCGAATGGATGAGGCGCCTGCCATGGACACCTTCCGCAACCCCTGGGAAGCAAGCGCCCGAGGATCTGAGGAGCCCTTTAATTCTGCGGTTTCGGCGTTTACGTAAACGAGCCGAAGATGGGAGAAAGCGCGTCCCTCCCGGCCGATAAGGCGGGCTGGTGTTTTGGATGAGGTTGGGGGCTGCTTTGATAGCGTTTGGGGGGGCTGCCTGTTTGATGGTGGTTGGGCCTGCTTTTTGAATGGGGTTGGGGGCTGCTGTTTGATGGGGTTGGGCTGCCTGTTTGACTGGGGGTTGGGGCTC